GCTCGAACATTACATACGTAAGCAATTTCCCTCACCGGTTGACTTGTAGTCTTCCATCTGCCTTCGAATCTGCGTTGGTTCCTTTCTATCCATACTGCATACACCCATTCAGTGTATACCATCTTGAACACTTGAGCTTTTTTTGTTCTGCCTTTTGCTCTTTCTATGATCCAGCTCTCCATCTGCCCCCATTGTGTTGTTTTGAATATCTTCATCTTCATCCATTTTAGTATCCCTTCCCAGATTTCCATATAGTAAGAGCATTCCATGAATAAATGATTCCTTGTTTCATTTTGCCTGTTACACAGTTTACATATGTGATCCATATTTATGCCCCAACCAGCAATTCTATCCATTGTTAGTAATTTCCCTTGCATCTGCAGCCACATTGTGAACTGGGCCTTTGGTCGAGCATCATTGCCAAACTTGAGTGTCTTCCATGGTATCCTTTCATTGTTTCCAATAAGCTGTAGGTAAATCTGCTTGATTAAGCTTTTGTTGTTGTTGTGTTGCACCAGTGTCATAGATCTTCCTGCTTCGAAAATTCTCCTCACCATCCATCCTGCATGCATTGGTATGACCATTTGATCAAACTGTTGATTCTTAACATAGTAAGAGTGTATCCATCTGATCCACATTCTATCCACCTTATGTTCAATGTCCCAGTTAGCTTCAATCATAGCTGCCTTATTCCACAATCTCATATTTATCAATCCCAATCCACCCATAGATTTTGGAGTTCATACTTTCTCCCATGCTATCAGAGCTTTCCTTGTAATTGTGTTGGTACCAGACCATAGATAGCTTCGACAGTAAGCTTCAATTGCATTTAATACCTTGGAGGGGATAGCAAATATTTGTGACCAATAGGCCTGAATACCAAATAAAACTGTTTGGATTAGCTGTGCCCTTCCTGTATATGATAGTTTCCTGGCAGTCCAAGCAGTAATTCTAGACACCATCTTGTTGATCAAAGGTTGCCACTGAATTAGGGATATTTTCTTTATAGCTAAAGGTATCCCTAAATATCTGAATGGTAGTTCTCTTTTAGTAAATCCTAGCATCTGCAGAATTTGCTTCTGTATCTCTTTAGTAACCCCTCCAAAATAAATGGAACTCTTATCTTTGTTGGCTTAAAGACCTGAGGATTCAGTGAACTCCCTGAAGCATTTTCTAATAGTGTCCACAGATTCCATATCCCCTCTCGAAAACAGCAACAGATCATCTGAAAATGACAAGTGAGTTATTGCTAGCTTAGAACACTTAGGGTGATATTTGAAACCTTTACTTCCTTTCATTTCATTAAGCATCCTACTCAAATATTCCATGGCTATTGCAAATAGGAAAGGAGAAATTGGATCTCCTTGTCTAAGTCCTTTAGCTGCATTGAAAGGAGCTGTTAGTTCACCATTGACCAAGATGGAATAATTCACAGTTGTCACACATTCTAGCACCCATAAAATGAACTGATTAGGAAATCCCAACTCCTCTAACATCTGCTTCAGGTATACCCATTCAACAGAGTCATAAGCCTTCTGGAGATCAATTTTAATCATGCATCTAGGGGACATTCTTCCTTATGTATGCCTTCACCAATTCCTGTGCCAAGAAGATATTGTCTGAGATCTTTCTTCCAGGAATGAACCCAGTTTGAGCTTCACATATCACTATTGCAATTACTTTCTGAATTCTTGCTGCTAGGACTTTGGAAATGATTTTATACATCACTGAACAACAGGCAATGGGTCTATACTCCTTCACATTTGTAGGATGCTCATTCTTAGGGATTAGAGTCACAGATGTACAATTGATAGCTCTATTCATCTTGTTAGTCTCAAAGAACCTTTTAACTGTTTTATGATTTCTGGACCTACGACACTCCATGCTCTCTTATAGAAATAAGCATTATATCCATCCAATCCTGGAGATTTATCATCCCCAATTGATCTTAACCCTTCCATTATCTCATGTTCTGTAACTGAGGAGCAGAGGAAAACTTGTTGCTCATGATTGAGTTTAGGTCCCTTGCTCATTACTAACCTGTTAACTGCCCTTAAGAATTGCTTTGAACTTCCCATTAACCCTTTGTAAAATGAAACAATTTCTTGTTTTATGTCTTTAGGATTAGTCAGCATCTTACCATCTTCCAATGCTTTGAGCTCTTTGATTTGTTTCCTTTGAGTTCTATCTTTTATAATAACAGCAAAGTATTTTGAATTTGAGTCTCGAAGCTGAATCCACTGAGCTCTAGATTTCTGCTTCAATATACTCTCCTCTATCAGACTCCATTTTTTCAGATTCATCAGTGCAGCTCTCTCTTCACTTAGCAAACTGTCATCATAGCTTACATTCATTGCTGTTTGGACTCTCTGAAGGTCTTCTCTGGCTTTGTCAATCTTCTCCACTGTCCCTCTGAATTCCTGTTGGTTTAGCTGTCTGAATACATGTCTCATTGCCTTCATTTTTTTCCAGATATTCTGCATGGGATCTTTATCCAATTGCTTCTTCCACTGAGACTCCACCAGCTGCAGGAACTGTTCATGCTCACACCATATATTAAAGAATCTGAAAGGTGCTGTAATGTTTTGGTTCACTTTAAGCAGGGTTAACAGCATAGGGGCATGGTCTGAAATATTAGGTAAATCATATTCAAGTACAACATGTCCCCAATTCATCATCTAGTCATGATTTCCAAAAGCTCTATCAATCTTGCTATTGACTTTTTCTCCTCCTTTTTGCTTGTTTGTCCATGTATAATAGTCACATTTCCACTGTAATTCATTTAATAGAGTTGTATGAATGCATTCAGAGAAATCCTTTACTTCGTTGAATGTGACAGGATGGGAACTCTGTCTATCAGCAGTTACTAGCATTGCATTGAAATCTCCACATACTAGCCATGGGCAGTTAGTGTTCTGTGCTATTTGTTTCAGACTACTCCACAAACTATGCCTCTCCTCCAGAGTATTGAAACCATAAACAACAGTCATCACACATTGGAAATCATTTGAAGTGATTTCACAATGTATTAATTGAGCTTCCACCCTTAGTACATTGACACTATAGGAGTTTTGATCCCACATCAACCAGATTCTTCCATTGACAGCAGCTGAATAGTTATGGATAATACCCCAACTAGCATTTATTTTTGTAGCTATCTTCTTGTATCTATGTTCCTTAACTCTTATTTCCACCAGTCCCAGTATTTTTATATTTTTTGCTTTTATATAACTCTTTAACTCTTTTTGTTTGTACACTTTATTCACCCCCTAATGTTCCAGAATAGCCAGGTCATTGAGCTATGATAGGTCCTCCTTGGTCAGGAGGTTTAGCTTGCCTTATTCTCTACATCTCTCTCTGTTTTAACCCTGTAGCTTCAATCCTAGCTTTGGACACCATCACTGCACTCAATTCAGGAAAATTGGTTAGGTTCAATTCTGGATTAGGCATCTGCTCCTTTCCTTTACTGAGACTTCTATCCTTCTCATCTGGTGTTGCACTTTCTTGTTGCTGCAGTTTACTCATTCTATCATCCACTCCATTTAGATTACCTTCTGTAGTCACCTGTTGTTGTTCCTCATTCTGCTTGGGCATAGTTTCTTTTGGCTTCCATTCCTGCACTATTGTTCCCCTCCTCTTCTGTTATGTACTTGTCTATCCATCACTTGCAGCTCAGGTTTCTTAGTACAATTGTGTCCAATAACTTGACATTTTGGACAGAATTGGGGCTTCCATTCAAACTTCACTTCTTGTTAAAACTTTTTTCCATCTAGATCCATTACTACTATTGTATCCGGCAGTGGCTTGGATACATTAACTTCAATCAACATTCTAGCATAGGAAATCCTCATTTGCTTAGTTGTAGATTTATCAACAAATAGAGGTTTGCCTAATGCACTAGCAATCCTGCCTAGTGATCCACATCCCCAACAGCTCATAGGAAGTTTAGGGAATTTTACCCATAGCGGAATCTCTGTCATAAACTCTTGCTTAAAGTCAAAACCAGGGTTCCACAATTTCATAATAATTGGTCTATTCCTCATAGTATAAGGTCCAACAAAGAGTACTTCATTCATATCATTTTTGCTATTGAATCGAGCTATATAATATCCCTCCTCATGCAAATACAGGTCTGGCATAGGAATAGAGTTTCCCATTTGAGAAATATGCCTGTGCATGATGGTATATCCTGGTGTCTCTCCCAAAACATAGACAATAAGTGAGTTTTTCCATTTTTCTGCTTCCCTGTCTACTTCTTCTTTCTCCAGTTGCACTATCGTCTCTCCATCAACTATTTGGGGAGGAAAATAGCTTAGGGCCATTCCATTTTCTGCCACTCGATTTCCTGCAAATAGGGAGTTCCACTTTGGCTTAATCATCTCCTTAGCTTCCTTTTGGTTTTCATCACTCTTTACTGTTGGATCAACTGGTTCTCGTGCTAGAACCACCTCCTTCTGAACTAGATATGTGCTTAGTTTCCCCTGTTTTACTTCCTCTTCGTTAGAATTCCCAGTCATAGGAGTTTTCTCAACATCCTCCGTTGCTTTAGTTTTGACAGCTGAGCTCGATGACGGATTTAAAGCTTTCACAGCTGAGCTCGATGCCGAATCTGAAGCTGGGTACTGTTCCATTGGTATTTTTGTCACTGGCTGCTTTGATGTTGATGCTTGCTCCTTGGATTGAACATGCACTGAACTTCCAAACGCTATTTGTATCTCTTTTCTAGGTCGTCCCCTTCCCTGACCTCGCCCCCTTCCCATGGAGCTTCAGTGCGTACGTTAGACTAACCTACGCTTAGAGAGAAGCTAGAGCGAAGAGAGAGAAGGTCTAAGAGAAACTAAAATTTTGGATTCCTGGAACTAAATTTGAGTGCAATATGAATGAGCACGGCTTTAAAGTCTTCTTGTTCTTGTTTTCAAATAGCTTCATGTAGTATTTAAGATGTTTTAATAGTGAGTTATTGAGATTCTAAAGAAATATATAAACGAAACTACATACTTTTATTTGTCGTCAACCTACAGTTGACAATTACTTAGCAGAACTGAAAATTTAAGCTAAACTACGATTTTGGTTTTCTTCATACATTGCTAAAAACATTGTCTTCAGACTCTGAATCTCCATTCCAATTGTCCCTTGCATTAGGAATATTTAAAAAAATTAAATTAGAAAAATGTCAATAATTTCTTTTTTATCACATAAACTAAAGCTTTCAAGAAATTACGTTGTTTCTCTTCAAAAACAAAACCCGTTTTAACTTTAACTGTATGTATAGACCTCTTACTTTGGAAGCTTACATTAACTACTACAACAAAATTAGTACTGTTTAGCAACTAAAAAGCTTATATTATTTTAGGGGATAATGCACTATGGATCCCTCAATTATTGATAAATTATGGATTTGATCCTTGTAATATTTGGTTAAGCATATGTAATCTTCATTTAGCTAATATGTGTGTTTTTGGTCCCTTTGTATAAAAGATATATGATATTTAGACTATTTTTACAATTATATTACATTCAAACATGGAGTAACAGTAAAAACATAACAACATATAGACAATTGAATGGCTTAATTAGCACTAGGTTCACTATCAGAGGGATCAAAAGTGCACATATTAAATTAATTAAAGGTTATATGTACTTAACCGTTGATATTTGAGGGACTAACTCTCCTTATTTTAATGTTACAAAAAAAAATTGTAACTTTACTTTTACATATAATGGATAAATTTCAGTGATGAGCCAAGTGAAATAAACCCCAACTCCAATTTTGTTTTTGGAGAAGTTATTTCAAATAAAGAAAAGGCCAAGTACCTGAAAGTGCAAGTTGTGAAAAATCTTATCTCCAGAAGATTTAAAGGACGTTGCATTTAGCAAAAGAAACCCATCTTCTTCTAAATTTTGGAATGCTTCTGAAATTGGAAAATCATTTGTCTGAGTTGTAGAGATTTGAACCAAAACCTGCCCATTACAGACTGAACTTGCAGAAATAGATGTTGAAGATGCAGAAGAAGTTGTATTTCTCTGACTATTAGTATTATTAGGCTGGACTAATATATCTGCTTTCTTTGATAAAAACAACTCTTTTGTTTGACTTAGCCTCTCTATTTCCTTCTTCAGCTCTGGTATATATTCTTGCACATAAGATATTGTTGCTGGAAACCCTAGCTTTTTCTGTAATTAAAGAGACATGGGTTAAACAACTAATTAATTAATGGACAAATTAAATAGATCTATGAAATATTACAAAACCCAAGTTTAGGTGATGTGAATCATTGTTATCTTCTTTGCAATCTCCTAATTAGGTATCTAGCTCTCTAATTAATTAAGCTTGTTCTTTGAGTCAGGTCTGACAAAAAAATGTTTACGCTTTGTGAATTTTTTTAACACAATCATGTCATTTATAAGTTCATCACAAGTAAATCTCTTCAATAAGTATTACTCCCTCCATTTCATATTAAATGAGTTACTTTTCTTTTTAGTCTGTTCCAAAACAACTGACACATTTCTAAATTTGGAAATAATTCAACTTTAAACTCTTCATTTTACCCTTATGGCCCTTAATGAGAATCTTTTATAGTCATACAAATGGCATGGCCCCACAAACCTTTTACCCCTTAATCTTTTAATACAACAAGTTTTAAAAGTCTTCTTCTTTTTTCTTAAACTCCGTGCCGAATCAAACTATTTCAAATAATATGAAACGGAGGGAGTAATAATTAATAATCTAATAGAAATAACAATTAATATGCTATAATATGCTAAACCAGACTAGACTATCCGCGTATATAACTTAAATCTCCGATATAAAAAGATACATAAATAGAGACGGTGTTTTTCCTATCATCAAAAGCAATTAGTATGTAAACTAAATTATTTTCTTGATAGTACGTACTTATGAGATAAATACAGACTTTTGATGTATCGAAGAGGGACATTTATTGTATTACGAGAGACATAATTGTTATAGGGATTGTACCTTTTGAAGAATAGCAGGAAGAAGCAGAGAACGAAGAGTGGAATAAAGGAAATTCATCTTCTTCCGTCGATTACGCTCGCTTGCGTTATGGCTTAGCTTCTTCGCCATTAATGACGCATTATCAAAGCTTTTTTCTTGTTGCTGATAAGAAGATGGAGAATATTGAATATTATCAATATGTAAACCTCCAAACAAGTCGTTAGTAATCTCATTTTGTAGAATATTATTATTCTGCTGATCATAGTTTTGTGGTTCTTCAAAGGACCATTCAGTACTCATTTTTGCAAAAATAGAAGAGGAAAAAGCTAACATTTTGTAGAAGGTTTCTTAAGGAGAAATAATATTACTTTCCTGAGATATTGGGGAGTGACTATCTTCCCTATTTATACAAACTGCTGTAATTTTTGTTGATTTTAATACCTTGGTTCTGTTTAAAAATTATAGTTTGTCATAAATTAGATAAAAAAAAACAACAACGTACTTAATATTAGTTTAATCAGGGCTGAAAAAAATTAGTTAAGTTATGCACTATGCTCGGTGCATTTGGTGTAAAAACTTATGTATTCAACAAAAAAACTAAAGAAATACTTTAACTTTAATTAACTTTTCTTTTTTTCAAATACTAAGTTTAAAGGTATTATTTGAACCTGGGTTTCATGTAAGTAGTTGTGAAAGAAAGAATGGATATATGTACTAGTTATTATAAAGCTAACAAGAAATTGTTTGACTAAAAAGTGTTAAACCTTTTTGTTAAACTAATTAAATAGGAAGATTTGAAGCAAATCCTAGCCAAAGATAATCTATCCTAGATCTCAGAAAGAAGATAAGAATAAACAAGCATAGCTGAACATAAAATTTGATTATAGTTACCATTGAATCCCATAATGTAAAAAAAGGATGATGATTTCAACAATATTAAATGATAACGAAGAATACATGAATGAAAAGAGTCACCGTTCTTAAACAAGGTTGAACCCCATACATTTGATATGATTAAATTAATGAAGAATACCGAGGTTCTAAGCTTCTTTTGTCCTTTCTTCTTGGCGAGGAGCCTGAGATGAAGATTCATCTTCATCTTCAGAGATATGTCTATATGTGTGTGAGTTCTTTCCAGCCCCCCTCAGTTACTCTCTCCCATGATATTTATACAAAAATACTTTCTTTACCCAACGATCCTTAACCGGAGTACCTAAGTTCTTGAAATGTCTTGTGGAATATTCCTCTAAAATGTCTAAGTGTTGAACTAGCTGTTCAGGTCGAACTGAGTGCTCGACCTCGACCGTAGTTGAACCACTCGTTGGTGTATTGCTTCCCATACGTGACCTCGGCTTGGTTGACTCTTGGTCGTCTGTTCATATTTTGACCTATACAGTTAGTCCCTCTGCCCGTCGGGGTTGCCTTTGGGCGAGCTCGGTGGGCGGACTACGCCAGTTGCACTTTTTGAGAAATCTGCGAACGTTGGCCAAAGAGTGATTCAGCTTTGTTGGCGAGGTGACGCTTCAAGAGCCGCACCTGGCCGTTACATTAGTTTGAAATGACACTTTCTTCATGTGTCACTATGGCGAACGTTCCTCATACGTTACATCATTTCCCTCGCTTCTTCCGTTTCGAAATTAATGACGCGGTGTTTGGGCTTTCTCGATTGGGGTGCCTATATTCTTATAAATAGGGATAGGCACTCATCTGAATTGTTGTGTTTTCAGAGCCTTTGAAGCCCGAGTTCTTATCTTCTTCGAGTTTTCAGCTTCTGTGTTTTCTTCTACCCTTCAGTATCCTTTGCAACTATCATCTCCTTCATCTTTGTATTTCTTCTTCACACAATCAGAAAAAAGGCCAACGCTTCCTCTGACCCTGTGACGTTGGCTACGGATGCACCTCCTCATGAGGAAGGGGTGGCCATGGTGGAAGATGAAAAATTTTCCACCATGGACGAGATAATCTAACGCTCTGGGAAGGTTAGATCAGACTTCAAAAACCTACCTGAGGATGAACCTGAACCTGCCATTTCTACGATGGATGCGGCGGCGATTACTGCATTTAGGATTAAGTGGCGAATCCTGGCCCATGTTGAAATCGTTCCCGCTGGTAGTGATGTAGTCCAAATACACCGCCCAGGGTACTGCGCATTTTACGCATACCTGTTTATCGTCGGCTACACGCTTCCTCTTCCTTCCTTGGTAGAGGATTTTTGCCGCTTTTACAACGTGTGCCCTGCTCAGCTCTCTCCGTACATATACAAGCTTTTCCTCATGCTTATCAAATACGCGCAGTTGTCCAGTCGTGGTATTTCTCTACGCCATGTGCTTCACCTCTTCGCCCCAAGTTTTCACAGGGGCACGATGATTCATACGAGCCAACGATGGACCAAGGCGTTGGTAGAGAAGATGGATGATAAAACTAATCGTCGTTTTTGGGAAAATTTCTTCTACATGAAGACAGCGCACGTGGTATCGAACCCCAGCAGATTCCCCGAGGAGTAGAACTTTGCTAGTAAGTGTTTCCCTTCTAAAATGACCTGTTGTTTATTTTGGGGTAATATGATCGTTCTCTTTCTTCCTTTGCAGCCAAGCGGGATCCTCCTCCACAAATTGTTGACATTCGCGACTGGGTGAGTCAGTTTTTGCCCCATACAATGGGGATTCGCGAGTGGTCGCACTTCAATGAGAGGTTCGGGCGTAGACCTGCGACCGGTGAGTCACTTTTGGCTTCAATTGTTGACTTTTATACCGTCATTTCTATCATCTTATCTCTCTTCTTTGTTTATGGGTCGGAGGACAGCAAGGAGGGCGAGGGCTCCTACGCCTGCTTTTCGCCAAATGGGTATCTCACCAGAACCCATACTCGTTATAGCTGCAAGTGAGCCTGCTAAAGCCGCCGCTGTCTCGCAGACTTCGACTTCGCGCGGGCTTGGCCGTGTCGCGCCCCCTTTTTCTCGCGAAATCGGGTTTATGACATTTGGAAGACAACTCGTTCCCTTTTGGGAATTGGGTTTAATGGAATTGAAGAGTCGCCACCTAATGATTGAAGTGCATTAGGACACTTTTAGAAGAGCTTGATTTTGGATAACCAGAGATAGGGTAAGGGCTTGAAATTATTCCAAGGGGAAGGTGCTAGGCACCCCTCAGAATCCACTAGTGTGGTTCCCGGCCAAACTATTGTTGTGACTTAAGGTACAAATAACATATAGACAAGTAGGACTTCAAATAAGAGGGGATTTTTCACATAAAGGTTAGAAATAAACAAAGTCGGAAAGCATTGAAGAAAGTTGATTTAGAAGAAACGTTTTAAGATTTTAAAAGAAACAAAGAAACAAAAGGGAGGGGGTCCTAGGTTTATTAATAATATGGATCACCCCACACAACATGCGGTAATCATTCTTACACGTGATGTTATTGGTACACATAGGGGTATAGGGAATGGGGAGTTGCAAGAAGTAAAGAGCAGGCTAGTGGGCATAACCCAACAATGGGAGATGCTGGCACACCCATAAGCCTACTGGAACACATTGTTTAGAGGTCAGGATCCCCTAAGGGATCAAGTTTAATCCATAGACAATAACTTGCATATTGCCATGTTTTAAACTGTAACTCAAAGCACACAAAGGGAATAGGGAGGATGGGTTCATAACAGAAACAAGCAAAAGAAAACAACATGCTAGTTTAAGTAGTTAACTTTGCAGAAGTAGTAAAGTAGACATAGATGTAGAAAGCTGTAAGTAAACACATTGTGGTGATGCTGAAAATTAAAATTAGGACATACCAGTTTCAAATAGGAAAAAGCAGTAGTCTTTGTGAAAGTCAGAATGCAGACAAGAAGAGAGAGTTCTAGTAAGAGTTCAGAAGAGATTGTAAAGTAGTACTGGAGGATTGTTAATCGTGTATGCTGTGTGTTAAAGAGAAGTAGTGTATTTATAATGCAGAAAACAGGCAGAAATAAAGTAAGAAAATAGTTTGATAACTGATTGTCAATCAATTAGACAAGGCTTCATTTAATTAAGGGATTCAGATTCAAACGGGTAAAACCAATTAAGGAAAGAAATTAATCAAACACTTTGTGCAAAGTAGTAAATTAGGGGCAAATACATAAAGGCTATTTAAGGACAAGGTCTTTGAAATACACAGTTGTACAATTTAAGGAAGAAAATCGATTAACAGCCAAGAAATCTGAGGCCAGAGATTTTGTACGAATGAACCAAGTCAGAAAGATGGGAAAGATTTTTAACTTAAGGAAAATCAGCAAACAAATCAATTAGACCTATTTAAAAGGAATTCTAAATCAATCACATGTTTGAAAACCTTTTTTGAAGAAAGATTCATCACATATAAAAGCATACAGACACGTTAAACATGAAGGAAACTTTGTCATGCCCTTGTAAAAATCAGTAGAAAGAATCCAGTGTAGAAGAGTTTAGCAAAAGGTTCAACATTGTATGAAAACAAAGGTGTAAACTCAGTTCAGAGACTCAAAGTTAGTCTGATAGAGTTAGGGGTTTTGAAATGAAACCCTAGTTCAATCAAACCATAAAACAAGGATGAGAGGGCAGGCAATTGAATCAAAATCATGTTCAAAAGTTTCAAAAAAGGACGGGCTTCTTCAGCAATAGAACTTATGAAGAATATGATAGCAAAGTAACATGCAATCACAGTAGAAGGATTCAAAGAACATAATAGCAAATACTGATACGAACAGTAGAAAAAGCATGCTTAGAAGAAACTTAAACAGGGCTCAGTAGAAGGCAAACAGAGAAACTTAAAAACTTAGCAGGAAAATACAGTAGAAGAACACAAGAACACCGAAAAAGTATAGCAGAAAAGCATATAGGAAAACACAGTAAGATAAACATATAAGAACATGGTAAAAATACAGTAGAGAAGTCTACGAGACCATAGTATAGGAAAATATAGTAAGAGAAGCATACAAAAGATGATATGAGAACACAGCAGAGGCAAACACACGAATAACAAAGAAGAAAAATCATGAAACACTTAAACACTTTCCAGAAAACCTTAAATCGGAAAAGAAGGGTGTTCAAAGTAATTTTCAAAATAAAAGTTAGGGAAATCGTTTGAAAACTCAAGTAGAGCATAGATACGCAACAGATCTAAAAAGAATTGGAGAAAAACCTCGAAGGGTTAGGGCTTCAGAAGAACCCTAGAATGAGAAAGGCTTTGAAAAGGTCATTGACCTGAGTCGGAGAAGTTAGAATCAGGCTTAGAAGACCAGGATACGCCGGAGCAAGGCCGGAGATGGTCGTGAAACCTCGAGCCGGAAAAGGT